TTTGATTATATTATATTCTCCCACCTGTCACTCTTAATAAACTTTACTATAATTACCCTGATCAAGTAACTTATTATAATGTTATTAAGTACTCGTCAGCTCTCCCAAGGACTCATAAAAAATGGTAACAATATTTAAATTATATTTTGTCAGCTATACAAATTCATGTTTATTAGTTTACTTAAATTCTATTAGTTCAATATTTACTTATTCATTCACTTATTTGCTTGATTATTTACTTGTTTATTCATTTGCTTACTTATTTATTTGCTTGTCTTATGTGATTAAATTCTTCTAATAAGATATAAAATATTTATAATTTAATAATATTAAGTATGAATAATCCAGTAAAATATTTAATTAAAGTTCATTATATAATAATACAGTTATTTATCATATTTCAAAAATATTATTATAGGTAATAACACTGAAAATAGTGACAATACTTAATAATAATCATATTTTTGTATATTTTTTGTTTTATTTCTTTTATCATTTTACTAAATTTATTTATTCTTGTATTTTTTACTCTAAAATTTATATTTTTGCTATTGGTTTATTTTATTTATACTTCTATCATGCTTATTTTTATCTTTAATGAATTGAATTTAGATCTTTATACTATATTTAGTACAATTTGAAAAATACATAAAAAATTCAAAATTATAAAACTAAATATTTTTTATATACAAAAATTTAAATATTCTAATATTATTAAACTTGATTTTATTTAATATTAATTAATAAAATAATTAAAAAAAATTTTTTTAGAAAATATTATGTTTTAAATTTTGATTATACTACATATAGTACAATATGAAAAGTATTTTAATTATAAAATTACTAATAAATATCAAGCACAAAAATTAATCATCAAAAAATTTTATTTTTTGAAAAAAATCTATAAAATTATATAAAGATATTTAATTATACAAAACTTTTAATATATAATTATATATATTAAAGAACTATTAAAAATATTTAAAAATATAATTAATATATTGAATTAATAAATAATTATTATCAAAAGTATTATAATATAATATAATATATTACTAATAATATAAGTAAATCTAATTCATTAATTTCATTATTTTTAATTAATTATTCTTATATTTATTTTATTTTTCATTTTTGTTATAATTATTCTTTTTATCTCTTAATTTTTTTGTTATAATTATTTATAATCAATTTTGTACTATTATTTTTTTTACAATACAATTAAATTTTTCTATAATCATACTTATTTATAATCACATTCTTCTATAATTATTTTATTTTATTTTTTATTATATATAAATATAATAAAAATCTTCTCTATAATCACATTTTTTTTATAATTATCAAATTTTGCTTTTTTGAAAATAATGACTATAGAGAGATTTAATTGTATTTCTTTTTATTCAAACTCTTATTTTTTCTTGTCTTTAATTACTAAAATTACAATTAATTTTCTTTTATATTGTTATATAATGAACTTTGATTGAATATTTTATTGAATTATTTAATTGAATTATCAATATCTTATATTTTATTAAAAGAATTTAATTATATGGGATGAGCAAATAAATAAGTAAGTAAATAAATAAATAAACAAGCAAATAAATAAATAAACAAGTAAATAAATAAGCAAATATTGGACCAATAAACTAGTGAATATGAATTCATATAGCTGATAAAATATAGTTTGAACATATATAAAATTAGATTAGAACAAGTCTTAGATAGTAATATTTCTAATTATCATTTTATAGCCAGTTATTATATACTTTTAATCATTCATACAAGTAAAATTTGTACTTTATATAGAGTAAGTAATCAAGCACAAACTCCTCTTTACATCTCCTTTGACAAAGTATTCTTGTTTTTTGTATAATCACTTTAGCATACTTGCTATAAGTGTTATATAGTTCTTGAATAAAGTATTAGTTACTCAAGCATATTTGTCTCAAGCATATTTGTTACAAATACTATATTATTTAATAACTATTAAAGTTATATTAAATAAAATAATTAATTAGTAAAACTCTTTGTATATATTTGTAACAAAGTTTATTAAAGTTATTATAATTTTTAAATCTGTTTTAAATCATATTGTTATATAATGAAATTTCATATTAATTATTAGTTAAAATTATATTTGATCTTATTGGATAATTTTGAGAATATATATTTATATTTTAATTAGTTAAGATCTTTATATTTATATTTTATATTATATTATTTATATTATTATTTATATCAATTTGATCAATTTAGTTTTAATTTATCAATTCAATTAATTTAATTTTAATTTATCAATTTGGTTAATTTATTTTTAATTTGTCAATTCAGTTTTAATTTGTTAATTTGATTAATTTGATTTTAATTTATCAATTTGATTAATTCAATTTTAATTTGTCAATTCAGTTAATTCAGTTTTAATTTGTTAATTTAGTTTAATTTGTCAATTTGATTTTGAAATCAAAATATCTTAGTTTTTTAAAAATAATTTCAGTAATTATCTTTATTTTTAACTTTAATTTATAACATATATTTAGTTTCAATATTGTCTTATTATCACACATTTAATATTTATTTTATATTCAAATTTTTGTTAGCTTATTATCATTAACCATTTACTATTATCATTTATATTTCTTTTATTAAAATCTGTCATGAATACAATCACTGTTAACCATTTTCATTCATAAAAACTAGAAATAGTAGCAATATAAGACAAAGCAAATGACAAAATGACTGGTCAAAACTAGAAATTTTTTATTTTTAGCACTTCAAATCTGTTTTTTATTTCAAATTATAACCAATTTTGTACCTAATTTTTATTTTCATTGGCTAATTTCACATGATTTTTAAGATTCAATTCCAGCGTTGCACTATTTATAGACTTTCCATCACTCGCGAAACTCTTTACCGTAACGTGCTCGGGGAGAGATTTGGTGTCATTAAAGTGTTACTGTAACGAGCTCTCACTGTACCAATTAAATTGGTTGATATTCTGAGTCACGTGTTTATTCTTTAATTTGTATATAACTACTTAATGCAAAATTTATTTTGAATTTTTTCCATCTAATTGTTAGAAAAATTAGCTTTTCTCTGTTTTGATTTTTGATGTTATAGCATTACTATGTGCTAATTATTATCAATTATATCTTGATTAATAGTTTAAATTAATGAACGAACATTCATTAGGAAGAGGATAAGTTGCCTAATTGAAATCTAACCTCAAGATTATAATTATGAGTTGTTAATATATCAAGTCTCAGACATGATATAGTATATGTAAATAATCTAGCTGTAAGAAAAGAAGATAACGCAGCATCAACTAATACATAAATTTTTGAAGTGTGTTGCGATTTTCCTCTTTTTTTTTTCGATTGAAATAGAAAATAGATAAACAGGAAATTTAAAATTATGGATACAATCTAAAAAAGAGGATAACTAAAATCACAAACCTTTCGATTTCTATATTATTTGTACATTAAACTGCGAATCCATCCATTATACTAATAGACGATCTTTATTTGGATTTCCACTTTTAATAGCATCGGAGTGTGGTTGAAATTCAAGCGTTTGATTTGCCAACCCCAAAGTTGATTTCAACTGTCGTCTATTAGAATTAAAAAGTCAATATCGAATTAAAGTCAAACAATGACTTGTATAAAGATAAATACCCTAGTGTTTTTGAAATTTCGACGTTATTTGATGTGCGAGTCCACAGAGAGATCCTATAAAAGATCTTCCGTACCGAAACGACCGCACCACACACTTCATCAGGATAATCAAAAGATTCTCCAATACATGCAAGCATCTGGATATTTATTTAGATTACAAAAATTAATTAGAAACTAACAGTTCATTATTTCAACAAAATCGATTAAATCCTTCGATTCCTTTGGCGGCTCAGTTGATTCTAAATTAGCATGTGAAATATTACCGTGTATAGCCATAAAGTGTTAATTTCTTCACCGATCTTATTACGGTGAAATTGAATAACCCATTTGCCGCCTTGTTCATTTAAAGGATCTTCCCACATTGGTTTGATTCCCTGCTTGAATAAATGATAATTTGAACCTGAAGCTAGATCACTGGATTTTACAATATTATTGTAAACTCTATAGATTGAAAGGTTGAAAGGAAAGAATTATTATTAATCAATTCATCAATGCATAAATATAATAATGAAAGAAGAGAATATGATCTAAACATACCCCCAAAATTCTTCCACCGAATCAAAGGTAATCATCTCTTTAAGATTCTGTGACCAGGTATTTTGGCTTGCTTTTTTTCCAGGGTTATCAAACCATAAAGTCCATGCGTTGAACAACGGATGCTTAACATTATAGTTCACTGGATCACTAAAGACAGTACGCATTTCTGTGAAGGGAAATGCATCACTGACTTCTTCGTGATCTGAATCTTCAATTTCTTCACCAATATCAAGAGAAGGTTCAGAGGTAGAGTTCATTTCATTTCGAGACATTTCGATATAGAACTATTGTATTTATTTCACCCACTTATTATAAAACGTTAAAATAAATTCTCTCGTCAGCCACCAAAAAAAAGTTGAGTTTATTATGAGGGGGCTGACAAATCGGTTAATATTAATTTTAGTAAATCATAGTCATGCCTCTATATGGTCATACCCTCTCCAGTTCTACACAGTCACGACCCCTTTTTTTCTGGGCCCTCCATTTAATTTAGATTTTGCATAATTTGCATGATTATACTTGGGTTAAATAACCAAATTCTAGGATATCTGCCATATGGCATTAAGTTAATTAAAATGAAATAGCCATGATTTTTACCTAACAGAATTACTGCTATCAAAATTGAATCATTTTGATTAACTAATTTCTTTATATTAGCTTGTGAAAGTAATAATCATAATGATAATATATCAATTATTATATTAAATATAATCTTACGAATGAACGAATGAATGACTAATAAGTTATAAAAAGTTTGCTCTATTGTTCTATAATACAATTCGCTCTTTTTTAAACGTTTTTCATACGCATTCTAAAAGATAAAATAAAATGATTTAAGATTATTCAATTATTCTATAAAATAATTAATAGTTATAAAAATTCTTCTCACCTATATGTCATCACAAGATCACCACCGGATTTCCATATATGTGCTTTTATCGTTGCCAAAGTCATTGTTGGAGGCAAAACCTAAACAAAAAAACTTAGAACATTTTCCTATAGGATTGCAATTGTGGACAGGTGACTTACTTGTTCTTGACACAGTAATTCTACCCACATCTCGGGCTTTAAAGTTCGTATTTTCTTTTCCTCTTCTCTTTCTGCTTCATCTGCTGATGCGTTATGACTATTATTTGTAGTGCTTGTTGGTGAAGGTTCAAGCCTCTCTATAACATATATGAGCATTTTCCGCACGCGAAGGATTCGAGGTGCTGCTAGCTTCACATTGCTAAATTGTTTCGTTGTTAAAAATTAATATCATGAACAATTTAATATATTATGGATGATTAAGTAAAGAATATATATACCCATTGGATAGCTCACTCAATTCAGATCCTTCATGAGGGCGTAAAATAAAACTAATTTTTGCCGGTTCTTTATATGGGACTTTATTCTATAAAGAATAGAAAGATATTAATAACTTATATAAATTTGAAAAATCAAATGCAACCTTTATAATAACACCTTTATTAAAAAATCGTAAAGCCATGATGGCGCCTGCCGCTCAATTTCCTCGTAATCTAAACCAAGTGAAGCCATCGTACCACGGTATAAATCTACACTAGTTGAAGCTTCCGGAGATTCTTCAGAAATTATTACTGTAGTATGCGATGGAATATTAATTGCAGGACTTTCGTGTAAATCAAAATGTCCCAAAGGTGCAGGTAGAGTAGGTATATTTATTAATCCAGGCTGTTGATTGCCCTTTGTTTGTTGAACAAGAGATTGTTGTTGTACAGTTGTAGCAGGTGAATGTGAAACAGTTGACGGAGGATGCACACTAGTTGGAGAGTTTATCTATGTAATTATTATTAGCAAATGTCTATTTTTTATATAACAAGATGGATTTTGAATTCTATAGCAGGACCAAAACAAGAATACCTTTTTTTCCGCTTCATCTTCATCTTTGCTCTGGCCGTCTTCTTCCGATACTTGAGAGAAAGTATTTGATTTGTTATCTGGAATAATTCTTGAGTTTGGATAATTGCCAACGCTTATTGATAATGCATTTTCACTTTTTGCATCAGCGCTAGGAGACCGCGACAGCTTTCGGGCACCATTATTCAATTTCAACGAGTGTTTAAGTCGACCCATCATAGTGTTTGAAGATCCATTGCTATTTGATGTTTGATTAACTAATGCTGGTGGCGGTGGTTGAATAATTTGTGCTGCCGGAACCGAACCCATATTGCTTACTACTGTGGTTCCGGGAGGCGTACGCATAGCTGAAGTTTCCGTTGGACTAGTTGGTGAATTATGATGTGAGCCGGAAAAATAATCAGGTTGTCCTCCAGTAGTAGCAGGTGCAGTAAATGGACCAGCAGTGAATGCTGCAAATTGGGTAGTAGTAGGTGATTGAAGGGTAGTAGTGGTATTCATAGCGTTAGAAGATGAAATAGGAGTAGCGACAGGATTAGGAATAACAGGACCTAGATTCATATTTAATGTCGACGATGCGAACATTGAAACATTTGCATTAGCAGTCATATTCGTAACATCACCAAATTGAGCTTGCATTGTAGCAGGAGGAAATGAAATATGCTGTAGCTGATTCGGAGACTGTGGTTCACTTTGTAAAGTCTCATGATGATGCTGTAATACTGAGTCATGTGAAGTTTTCTGCTGTTGTAAAGACTCCTGAATTTGATTCTCTTCATGTGCTTTGTTTGCAGCTTGAACAAAATTGGCAAACAAATATCTCAGCACCCATTTTCCAAGATTAACTAATAGTACAAGCTGGGTTATTAGCAAATTCATAGTAATCAAAATAGAACAGATGATTTCGTACAATACAAGCTTACTTTTTATTTCCTCGCGTGTATCTGGATCTTCTTGTGTTCCAATCTCATCTGCATATATTTCCGCATCAAAACATTGGGATTCGTCTAATTGAATAGTTAAAGCCTGATAGAAATAACATCGTTAGAGTTATCAAAATAGCTGAAGAGTCATTATTACTTACTCCAATTCTAGTATCTACTTTACACCAGTTTGGTATTGACTCGATGGAATTGTTTTCTTGGGAAACCTCATCCAAATCCCGTTTACCAAATGTTTTAATACGGATACACTATTATAATAAAATGTTTAGTATACAAGAATATCAAGATTGAGAATAATTTGCATATAAAACACCTCAATAATATCCCAAAGTGCAACTTCGCCCGAAGTGTCAACCGTGAGTATATGTCTGCGACTGTTTAATATACAATGCTTAATTAAACCGTGTTGACCTGTTGATCAAAAAAAATCTGACATTCATTATAGTTTTATATATGAAGAGATGCATAATAAAAGAGGAAGATCAATCAATACCTGGTATAACTGAATCTGGATAATCTCGGATTGGAATAGGATCATCACTATCAACGTCACCAAATGGTTGTTCTTCAATTGCTACTAAATCTATAGAATGTACTGTATTAATCTCAGAGTCTGCAGCGGCGGCACCATATGAAGTATCCGAGGAAGTAAGCTTAATGATCGCTGAAGAAGGTATAGTTGGCGAAGATGGAGAGGCTGGAGAGGTTGGATTAGAAGTTGATGTTGGTACATAAGAGAAATTTTTACGACGAGGATGGATTGGAACGTCTAACTGAATGTGAATCAATAATTACTGTCATTAATCATAATCTTATGAAGGTGTTCAATGATTAACCATAAATAAAAAAATTCTCATGAAGCTGTACCCATCTATTGATATTTGAATTAGATGTAGCCGTCCACACGTATTTGTTATCTAAAGCTACTACCTAAAAAAAATCATGAATTAGTAATATACAGGCAAATAAAATAATATTACTAGTCAATATTATTAATTACCTTTACAATACTCGCATTTTCCTTGCAGATCGCTACACATTCGCCGTCACGAATTTCCGCACAACCGCTATAATCGGTTTTTGCCACTAATCCATCTTTACTTCCTGAATAAAAAGTTCCAAGACGTGGATGATCTGAGAATAGCGCCCAAACAGAATCAGAATGTATGGTAAAAGTATTGATGCATCTTTGGGCCGTCAAAGACCAAAGTTTGATTGTAGTATCTGATGATCCTGATAAAATCTAAGAAAAAATAATGTTGTTATTATAATTTAAAGACAACACAAAATATCCTAAAGATTATATGATGACTTACTAATTCACCATCATCGCTTACTAAGATAGCTCTAATATTATCCGTATGTCCGGTAAATCTCATTATTCGCTTGCCGGTACGTGGGTCCCATACACGAATTATCTTGAATTTGATAGAGTTGCTTTTTCATTTTAATCTTAATATGAAGCAATCTAAGGATCATCATTTAATATGTCCTAATTATTTTTTTGTTTCAATGAGAAGTATAACAAACCTTTTCTGGAGAACCAGAAACGAGCACCGTTCCTGAAGGATTGCAAGCAAGGGCATACACAGATGACTTTGGAGATGCTTCATGAATTGCAACTAATATAATAAATTTCAAATAAGAGACGTCCACCAAATAAAAAAAAATCTATATTTTTAATCTACTTTATTTATTTATACCTTTGGGCTTAAATTCATGTTCTAAAAAGTTGGCCTGATTATATTCATTTGACGAAGGTCTGCACTCTATAATATCCCAAATAGCAATTTTTCGATCAAAGCCACCACTAGCAACCCAACCAGGACCAGGTGCATATGCAAGAGCTTTGATGTAATCAGTATGATTACCCACATTTATCGGATTATCGGTTTTATGAGGATGCCAGAGTTTTAATGTGCGGTCAGATGAGGCGGATATAACTATAAAATTCCATCGTCATACCAGGAAAATATTTGAATTTAATAGAGTAGACCATATCTTCTTATCAAATGATAACTTACGAGTTTGATTGTTATGACATAATACAATGTCATTTACCCAATCGGTGTGACTATGAAAGGATTGGCGAAAGGTTGATTTTGGTGATGGTTGCTTAAGTTATTAATATGATATAAATATAATGAATTTTTTTGATCATAATCTCCACTATGCATCTAGCTTTCGCTAAGTTCGCAAAATTTTCTAATCAACCTAAAAGCATCGAAGCTTACAGTAGTATATAACTTTTCACTATCGAGTTCCCAGCTTTTAAAATCGTTAAGTTGCTGGCCTATAGGAAAATTATCATCCGTTTCTTCGGTATTAAAAGTTTCTGCTTTTTGGTTTAACGAATCACTTTCTTCTCTTTTTTCTCTAAATGGCATGTGTAGGTCCCATGAAGATATAACTCCATCACGTCCAGCAGTATATAATATTCCTTCTGGTTTTCCAGAGTCTGGATTCACAGTACTTGCGTCTAGAGTTAAAGAATTAACTCCTAAAAGATGTCCGTGTTCGTCTTGATCGTGAGTAATGACATAAGAAACACGTCGTCGAGCAAATCGTCTCATTTTTTAACATATAGAAATTATATTAATCCATATAATCCATAAATTTATAATTTTGTTGTGCTACATCTCTAAAATGCTATTATAGGTAATTAAGAAGCACCATTATTTTTTAAATAAAAAACCAAATAGTCTAGACATTTTGATTCTAGAAATATAAACTGCCAATATTATTTGATGTATGTGTGTATAATATGTGTGTGTGTATATATATATGTTTGTATAAGCACAATGTTACCATAATTACAAATTTTGCCAAGAAAAGCTGAATAATTAAAATATGAAACTAGTAATATAGCTTTAAATTCTCTGTATTAAAATGTTCTTAAATCAAGTATTAACGACCACCCAAACCTCCCCTCCTTTCAATTTCTTCCAATGTCATCATACCACGTGGTTGCAAGTTATTATTTGGAGGCAGTCCTGAGAATTAGAATCAGTATTGCATTATAATACTCAAAATAATAAAAATTGAAATCCAATAGAAATAAATTACCTGTATTAGGTGCAATTGCATTGTTTACCAAATTCGGTATGAATTGAGCATAGCCATGCATATTTGCAAAAAGGGCCGTCTCAGTACTAGGTGGCAGCATCGCATGATGCGGATGAACAGAAAATTGTTGTGGAATCTGATGTCCAGAAAAAGGAATTTGTTGCTGATAACGATCAGCCTGATGCTGATAACCAAATGGCATTTGCGGGGGAGCTTGCTGATACTGTGGATGAATCTGTGGGGGAGGATTACGCGAAGGAATCGCTGCAAATAGTTGCTCGACAGGGATATTTCGCCCGAGTGGAAGAGGAGGTGGAAATTCAGGGTGAGCAAGAGTATGCTGATGAACATTGAGGTTGTTTGAATATGAAGACATGACATTATGATAATGGGAGGGATCGAGTCCCTGTTGCTGAGAAAGAATGGGGGAACGAGGTCGAGGCGGTGATTTATATAAAGGTAGGTGATGATCCTGCAAATTTGCAGACTGTGGTATGTTTGGCGAATGCGGGTAATTTGAAATGATTGGCTTTGTAGCATTAAACTTCAATGCAGGTGAAGATGATGCGGATGATTCTCTTGAGCCTCCGTCAGATTTTGTACTCAATTGACGATACACAGAGGTGGGCACATTGTTCCCAAAAAGCATGTTCAACTTTTTGGCGGAATCAGAAGCATTTATATCTGGCATATTACCAACACTTAACTGTCTATGAATGGGTTCATATTTCGATTGTTGTTGCATGCTTTTAGTATGGGTATGATGCTTCTGTGCTATGATTATAGATGGATCATTGAATGGAATCCCAGTAGCATGAGATAATGGTTCATTTGAGGGTGGTTGAATTGATGATCCTACTCCTATCGGAGCATTTGATGATGTGTACTGTCTTTGAGCCTCTGAAGACTAGTAATGAAAAAATTATAAAATAAAAGTGTAAACAAACAAACAGAACCTTTTAATATCATAATTTATGTATGTTCTTTTAAATAAAGTCTTACATTTCCTTTTGCCAAGGCTGCTAAAATCTTATTGAAACCCATTATATCTTCAGGATTTCGTTCATCATAATCGTTTTTGGGAACAGCAGTCTTTGCACCAAGTGATTGTAATACCTCGGCCTCGGAAAGCATACGTTTCCCATCATTAGGTATGGCACGAGGAGATGCTACTGGGACATTGATTTGGCTTTGAAAGAGCGTGTCAAGCGAGATTGGGGCGGAATGCAATAATTCATTCGTAGATGAATGGTTTTGCGATACTAAAGACATTCCTTTGGATTTTTCATTTACATTCCGTTCCGCATTAATATTTTCGTCTTCACTATGATTAAAGAATTTAGCGAAACGAGACGTTGGCTGCTCACGAACACCATATTCGTTTTTTCGCCCACCACCGATAGCAGGAATATCAATTGCTGCATCTCCTCCAATGCCCTTTGGAAGGATCTCTTCAGCCATTGCAAGTTTATGTTGTGACAAAAATTTATCAAAAGCATCAGAAGAACCGGAATCCAAAGAATCAATTCCACCGGGTCCAAATAACTGATCTACATTTTGCAGCTTCAGCGGTTGCTCTGCTAATGAATTAAAAAACTTTTTCGAATTTAATTTATTTTGATAAATAATATTATTTAAATTCATACCTTCGAATCCGATAAGTTGTTTTTCTTTATTGCCATTCTCTTTAATTTCGATAGAGACATTATTGTTAACAGAGTCTTCATCTGATCCAACAATATATTTATTCTCGGCTCGCCAAGAAATACTACTATCAGCTCGAGAAACACTTCGTGCTCTACCTTTTTCCGTTGTTTCTTTACGTTCCTTTTCGGAGCGCACTTTTTCTTTATCTTTTCTTTCTTGTTCTTTCATTCGTGATTTCCAAGCTTGTATATCAAATGTTTTCTTGTCGTCTTCATCAAATTCCTTCAATTTCTTTGATTCCTCTTCAGGATTATAATTCATCCATTCAGGAGTCTCTGATCGATCCTCGCCATGCGAATGATATCTTGAGATACCAGATTTGACTAGATTTTCTTTACCACCAACACCAGAATCTAGTAAATGTTTTAAAAAGGTGAATAATTATATAATAAATGAAAAGAAGATAAATTATTTAACAAATCTACCCACTTTCTCTTCGATTGCCTCGCGATAAGTCTTGTGTACGTAAAGATCCTGTCATGCGAGAATGATGAGCACCATTCGTATCTCTCATGTCTCGTGTATCTCTTGGTTCATTGATATCTCTTGATGACGACTTATCTGCCATTGATTTCTGCCGTAAAACCTCTCTTCCAACAAATCCACGACCACCAGTAGGGCCACGGGGGGCTCGAGGTTCAAAATCTTTACCGGTTGGTCTTAACAGCGAACCGTTTTCTTCCCCCTTTTTTTGAATTAAGTAAAAGGTAAAAAATAAAATTTTTAATAATCCGGATGACAATAACACTAACTTGGCGTTGGCGTATGCCGTCAGTTCTGGTAGGTCTAGAAGGAACTGCAGCTGATTTATCTTCAGTTATTTTAAGTCCCCCTATGGATGATGAAGCGAAATTCATTTTGGGGGGACCTAGCACAATCTTATCTTCATTCGCACATATACACACATGGGAGTAATAATTTGAATAATTAGCCATCAACATGCAAGTAAATTAAAAAATAATAATTGCTATTACGATATTATTACCTGATGGTTTTGGAGAAGTTGGTGCCGAGCTCCCGGGACTTTTTTGAACAGCTAACGTTGGACTTTTCGGAATCCCTAATGTGTTTGCATCATCTTTTGTTTTGTTCGACCCATCTCCGAGATTATAATTAGATTGTTTGCTGTTAAAAAGAGGAGGGCATACACAAGCACGAAATTTAGATGCCAAGATCACTAATATATATATAAGATATGGTCTATACCTGTTAACCTCTTATCATTATCCAAAGTGTTGTTATTGTCAGCGGGTGTTCTTTTCTCTTTCTTTATTATCTCCCTTTAAATTTAATTTAATTTAATTAATTAATTCGTATTGCAAAACTGGTAACTTATTGAATAAATATATTAAATAAAACCGACTTACCCATACCAAGTAGTCATCGATGGCAATCTGTCTGGCTTTTTGACCAAGGGACTATCACGTAATGCCAGTAATTGCTCTTTTGTATAACGGATCAAAGGTCTATGACTTGATCCACTCTGCCGGATCGATGTCTGATCATTTATTGAGTCTATAGATTCCTTAAATTTGTCATTACTTTCCTCTTGTACTATTAAGGGAGATTTAGATTCTGGGGGTATTGTTACTACAGATGATTTTTCTGTGTCAGTAATGGGGTCTGTAGACGTGTTGTCAGCCTCCGACATTTGTAATGTGGGGAAGCGTGTTATTACTTAGATTGTGTCAAGGTGTTGCTAAAAAAAAAGTTCAATTTGGAAAAACTAAGTCAGTCTTTGTAGATTGTTGTTTGATCTTTTAAAGTCGGAGAGTATGAATAGCAAAGTTAATTTTAGAACTATAAAGTATAAAAGCTAATATTTTCGGAATTTTATTAAAAATTATTGAATTGGATGAAGAATAGAACACACGTTATCTGTAATATATTTTTATATGGAAGAAAGTGTGGGTTCATCTCAGTGATGAAAGCAATCAAAAAAACAACGTCACCCTAGTTAGTGGTATGCATGATTAATTGCTATATGGAGTGAGGATTAATCATGCTAGGATGATTAACAATTCTGGTATTTATAATATTGTAATGATAACGATAATTAAATGACTGAATCACAATCAGAATACATGCATACACCGATTGTTCTCAATATTATAGATATATATATATATATATGTATATAGTGGCGGTGATGGTAAAGTGATAAAATCCCAGTTAATATTAAAGATAAAGCAATTGGATATTCGTGCACACACGTCCTCGTTCTTCATCAACGATTATTTTGTCCAATTTATTGAAAGAAAGAAGACCATCTGATGGGAAGATGATATTACCGAGATTTCCTGTGCCAAAAATTCATCCTTCACCGCAGCCAAACCTATCATAGTAATTTTTTCATTCAGTGATCGTTATAACTCTATTCGTGGTGGTTGCAAGGCTCAGATTGCCTAGAACAACCACTCGGTAATAATACAATAAATAATGACAACAATAGACGGAAAAAAAATTAAAGACGACGAAATAATGATAAAAATTAAAATATAACTTCTCTCGCAAAGTTACCAAAACTGTGTGACCATGAAAGAAGCGTCGAGTAGTAGTAGTAGTAGTAGTAGTAGTAGTAGTAGCAGCAGATGTAATAGCAGCGTATTCTCTTCAAACTAATGAAATAATAAATTTATGATGCCACACATGAGAATTTAGGTATGCTTTTATAATATGAACCAGAAACATTAACAAAGGGTTACTCTCTGGTATGCTAGCAACTGAATTCTTTGCATGGGTAGTATCTCTGTCGCCATCTCTTCCGTTCTTCGTTCCCCTATGTGCGTTTTTCATGTCGTCATTTAATATTACTGTGTATGTATAAACCTAATAAAAATTATTCCCTAATAATAATAGCAATATAGATCAGTCTTGTTCATGCCAATAATATAGTCCAGGTGACGATGATAACCATATTCATTATAGATTAGCCGCTTTTGAAAATCGAACGTTATAAAACATATCGGGTATGAAAACGGCCGAAATTTGATTTCCACCAAACCAGCGACCATTTAGACCATTTACTGCATTTTGAGCCGATGCAACGGAATCGAATTTCATATATATATCTCCCTAAAAAAAAAAGGTGCGACGTGAGCAATTTTGCGCGTGATTATGAAGTAGTAAATATACCAATTGATGCTTACATTAGATTCTTTATCAACACTAATATGCACTAAAGGACCATATTTAACACATTCGCCTTTTACATCATCTTCCAGTTCTTCAGCCCAATTTGGTTCAGATTCCCTAAAGTTACAATAACTTAAATTATCCACTTAAATATTATAATTTCACAAAAGACAAAAAATTTAATACATACTCTTCAGGATTGAACATATGTTTTAATAATACACATCGTGTAGGATTTACTCTTGGTTGGACGGGTCGAGGACTAACGTATTAATTATTGTTTTGTTAGTAGTGAATTTATTGTCTTAGTACATTATGAACAGACTACACATACGGTTCTGCAGGAATAGGATTTGTCGCAGGTGTAATAAGATCCGTATCACGTGCCAGTTTTTGCATTAATTCTACTCGAGACTGGGCGTTTAAGGCTAGACCAGCAACATCTACATTGTAATAATAAGAGAATTAGACCACACACAATTAACAAAAATTCAATGATTTCTATACACAATAACTTACCACCGTCATCAAGATTTAAATTCATTCCGTTACTTTTATCAGTAACAAGACCTACTTTTATCTACAAAAAAAGCTCGATTAGTATTCATATGCAATATTTTCTAGAAATGAGGGATAAACTGCTTACTGTTCTTCCAGCCAACTCGAATCCATTCATTTTTTCTAGGGCTTGTTTAGCATCTTCAGGATTTTTATATCTATTCAATGGGATTAATAAAATATATTAAACCTTAAATTGCGAGTCTTGTGTACTATTTTTTCATGTGAATCTTACTGAATAAAAGCGAATCCTCTGGATCGTCCTGTTTCTGGATCTTTGTGTAAATTTACGAATTCTAAAGGGCCAAATGGCTCAAACACCTGTCTTAAATCATCTTCTGTCAAATTAAAGTGAACAGATCCAACATAGAGTCGATGATAGGCAATATCTGTTGCATGGGATGCCCTGAATACAAATACATTAGTGAACCCAATCTATATAGTAAACTTTTGTCAAACTGATAGTCTAGAGACTCACGCTTGTTCTGCTAATCGAGCTTGACGATTTTTTTCAGCTTCAGTTAACTGTACAATAACAGGGATGCCTAAAAGTTTTTGCCCTGTCAACGCCAAAGCTTTGGGAACAGAGTCTTCATCATAAAACTCCACATAACCAACCCTACAAAGAATGAGAATTATGATGAGGCAAAATATCATTTTAGATTGTCAACCTTTTTCTTATATTATGATTAATTACCCTTTAGATCTTCGAGATATTCTATCTGCAATAATTTTAGCGTCCCTGACCTTCCCAGCTTGTGAAAAAAAATCAGCAAGTTCTCTTGTTCGAAGACGTGCAGCTAGCTGCATTACAAACACAGTGCGCTTATCCCGTTCTTCTTCATCTAAAGGAGGGGTCGGAGACCGCCGCCGACGATCACTATGCAAATTTATATACATTCATATACAGAATCAAATATAAAACATTATTGAATGATTATGATTTACAAAAGTACCTTAATCTACTTTGACTACGGCTTTTACGTCGCGGACTTCTACTTCTTCTTCTCCTATCTTTGTCCCCTCCGGATCGAGTTCTGCTTCTTCGTCTCTTGTCACGCGATCTAGAACGACTACGACGCCGCCTATGCCTTTCACGCGAACGAGAGCGTGACCGACGAGAGCGTCGTGTTCGAGAATGTGATCTGTGACGATGAGCGGAGGAGCGAGAGGAACTTCTATGACGTCTACTACGCTCACTAGTTGAAAATGTGGGTTTTAACCAAGAGTTTTAGAGAGACGCAAATTTCTATGAATAGGCGAAAACGGAAACTTTTTCTCACCTTTTAGCAGGAATTTCCTTCGAGTCTGGTTCATTAGCTACATTCATGTAGCCTTCCGCAAGCTCTGGCTAAAAACAAAAACATAAGAAAATCTAAATAGATAAAAATGGTGAATAGCAGCAAGGAGTACCTGTGCCTTTTGAAAGGGAGCCTCTAACATAGCCTCAACATCGATGTCGTCGTCGTTCATTTTTTTTTAATTCAACGAATGTGCAAGTCGTGCGTATTATCAGATATTGCTTATGATATATAGAAGTTGCATGGTGGCTTTAGCCAATCGAATCTTGATGAAATTCGGCAACGAAAATCAGGATTGAATTCTTTTTTTCAAAAGTTTGGTTGCTTCCTTATCAAACTCGATATAAATGGAAAAAGTTCCAGAGCACCGAAAAAATGCATTCAAATCAAAAAATCTCTTAAAACCTGAAGAGTTAAGACGACGTCGTGAGGAACAACAAATTGAAATTAGGCGTAAAAATCGCGAAGAATCTTTAGCGAAACGACGTAATTTAAATGTTCCTGCTTCACCAGATTCCGATGATGAATCTGCAATAGCAATGTTTAATGCTCAGGTGAACATTCTTGCTAAACCACCTCTTTTTTCATAATACCTTTTAAATCATATGTTTGAAGCGCAATTGCTTATTTTAGACGTCAATTTTATATTTAACGAGAAAAATAATTTTAATATCATTAATTTTCATCTTGTTTAAAATAATCGTATTTAGCTTCAAGAGCAACTTCCAGGAATGATACAAGGTGTTTTTTCGGATAATGTCGAAGAACAGCTTCAGGCGACAACAAAATTCCGTAAGTTGCTTTCGAAAGAAAGGAACCCACCAATTGAGCAAGTGATAGACTGTGGTGTTGTAGCTCGATTTGTCGAATTCTTGAAATCTCCCCATACTCTTGTGCAGGTTTGTTCCTATCGTATTATACAACATATTACAACGACAACAACAATAACAATAACAACAACTGATTCTCAATACTTGGATAATAGTTTGAAGCTGCTTGGGCTCTAACTAATATTGCATCGGGATCTTCTCAACAAACACAAGTTGTAATTGACCATGGTGCCGTGCCCATATTTGTGGAATTATTAGAGAGCCCTGTTGCTGATGTTAAAGAACAGGTAATAATCGCGATTAATAAATCACAGCTTAAAAATTATAGTTTTTTTATTTTCTAATATTTGCTTATTTATACAGGCTGTATGGGCTCTAGGAAATATTGCCGGTGATAGTCCTTCTTGTCGTGATTACGTTTTACGTGAGGGAGCTCTTCGCCCTCTATTGGGAATTTTAAATGAGCAGCATAAGCTTTCCATGTTGCGAAATGCAACATGGACTTTATCAAATTTTTGTCGAGGCAAATCTCTGCAGCCAGAATGGAATCTGGTAATTATCACTATTTTGTTGTATTTATGAATTAATTTAACCAAGACTCTGTCCATTAGATTTCTCCAGCTCTTCCGATTCTTGCTAAACTCATCCACTCAATTGATGATGAAGTTCTTATTGATGCCTGTTGGGCTATTTCTTACCTTTCCGAAGGATCCAATGAGAAAATACAGGGAGTAATTGAATCTGGTGTATGCAGACGTTTGGTAGAACTTTTAATGTAAGCATAATCCATGAAAGATAAAGTTATTTAACTTCACCAACTCAACAATTATCTACTTAGGCATCAATCAACATCCGTACAAACACCTGCTTTACGTTCCATCGGAAATATTGTCACCGGTGATGATGTCCAAACTCAAGTGATTATCAATTGTGGCGCACTTAGTGCCCTTTTAAATCTTTTATCGAGTCCAAAAGAAGGACTTCGCAAAGAAGCTTGTTGGACAATTTCGAATATTACTGCTGGAAATTGTGCTCAGATACAAGCAGTGATAGACGCGAATATTATTCCTCCACTTATTGACATCTTACAAAACGCGGATTTTAAGACGCGCAAAGAAGCATGTTGGGCAATTTCTAATGCGACTTCGGGTGGATTAAATAAACCTGAACAGATAAGATATTTGGTTAGTCAAGGATGTATCAAACCATTATGTGATCTATTGACTTCTATGGATAACAAAATTATTCAAGTTGCTCTTGACGGCATTGAAAATATACTTAAAGTTGGCGATCTGGAAAAAGTAGACGGTGTCAATCAATTCTCATTGTATGTCGAAGAGGCTGGTGGCATGGAGAAAATCCATAATCTTCAAGTTCATGACAACGTGGAAATCTATAAGAAAGCTTACCATATCATTGATAAATACTTTGGTGAGGACGAAGAAGACGCAACTTTGGCACCAGAAATGGATATGTCCACAGGTCATTTTGCTTTCCAGGCAGATTTAAATATGCCACAAGGAGGTTTTAATTTCGGGGGACAACCGATGTGACGTGAGCATTACTTTCGATACCATGAGATTATATGATACAAGAGAAGAGATTGAAGCTTTCGTGCAGACTTATTTTTTTATTTCTAATGACTTTTTTGATATTATATCTATACACACGTTCTTCTTTCTCAAATCATTTTATTTCTACCAGTGACTATTCTTGGCTTTGAGAATCTGTTGTTTATGGAACCATTAGAGACTATTAATAGTGAGATTTGAGATTTACTTCTAATGGACTTTGCATAGACATTATTATTATTAATACCTTTACCTTTTTTTTTTTTTAACTTTTTACTCCCAACCGCTTGATATAAATACGCTATCATCATTCATCCCTTTCACATTTGATTATTGATTTTCACACAACAAAAGCAATAGTAGTAATTGAGAACTTGTTTATATGTAATTCTGCTCAACGGAATACGTAGTTGAATGGCATCTTTGACTATATGCCAAAATGGTTCCAAAGAAGTCAAGTCAGATCAGCGAATCAAGACACAAAACTCTTAATTCGGATTTCAATTTAACTGGTAATATATAATTGAAATTGAACCCGGATTAAGTACGAGGTGTCGTTTATGATTGGTGAGCCAAAATCGAAATTTGATGTTCACATACGAGTAATAAATTTTTTTTGTATACAAACCAAGATCTTCAACGAATTTTCATGAAATACAGTCAACTCTCTAAATGCACACATGAAAATCAAATCAGAGTGCATTTAGAGAGTTTGTGCATTTATAGAGAGCATTTTACTTAGTAATATTATTAACTTGGGACCGAACCAAGGTGTGCATTTATAGAATAGAAACATAGTGTAGAGAGTGCATTTAGAGAGAGTTGACCATTAATAATGAATTAGATAGCTAAAGTACCAAATAAAAAGAAATTACCGAAAATTTTTGTTTTGTCTCGTCTTTATTAAGGTAAGAGAAAACGCGAAATCAGGCCATCAGAAACTTGAATAAGTTAAACAAAAGTCTACATGATGTGATTCAATCGTAATTTGCGTTCGAAAGCCACTCAAGCGACACAATGCCTGGTGTCAAACAAACTTGGGTGTTGCGATTTGTGAACAACCACTTTATCTGATGACCATAAATATAATATCATTTTCATGTTCAATTCAAGATTTTTGAGAATAATTATTTTTCTATTATTAGAAATTCTACACTGGATTTTAGAATGAATCTTTAATAAGAGGTATTTAATCGAGATTTTTTTACTGTTATGTATGGGCAACGGTGGATATTGGACGGATGATGGTGTTATAGTTTTCTCGATGATTATAGAATAATATTTGCTACTACAGAAATATTTATGTTGACAGAACATTAATCACCAAGATCTATGAGAGAAATTTCTTTTTTGACAATCTCAAATTTTTCTGATGAATAAATTTTATTAATGATCATTCTTCTTTTCTCTAACTATAAGAAGGTTATCCTTTGATTGACTGCGAACTTGTGTGAAATATAACAATTAGTGTAAGCGATTTGACGCGTTCTTGTTAGACTAATAAATAAAATCTTTATTTTTGGAATATGACCGATTCTCGATTGATGTTTTCGGGGGAGGTGCTAAATTTAAGCATATATGGGGTGAGTGCTGTAAAAATACCATTATAATCAGATCAAGAATCCTCCCTTTTATTGCACTCATCCCATATATATATGTACTTTGTTATCGAGTAAAAAATTTCATACATTGACTTCGATGACCAATAGAAATGTACGAATGAAAGTTTATGATACAACTTCCCTGCAATAGAAAAGATCCGACAGAACACAAACTACAAGTGACACAACAGCTTCTCCGGAGTTTATAAATTTCTCACGGGATTTTAGAGAAATCAATCAATAACGATAACATGAGATTACTTTTTGGTTTTGCGCTTTCTATTTGCTTGGCCAGTCATGGATATCTTAAAAAGTCGCTTTCAACTTCAGGCGCTGCTGCTGCTTTTTTTGTGGGATTGGGAGCAATGTATAATGATTGGGCGGTGTTCCCTTTATTATTGTTAACTTTTTATTTTACAGGTTCACGCTTAACAAAGGTGTGCGTAGATATGTTATAGGGAAAGAGAGAAATTTTTCTTATCGCTTATCAATTAGCATCTTTACTAATAAAATATTGTTATACTGTCATACTGTCTCAGTTGAAAGCAGAGAGAAAGAAACAAATCGACGAAGAATATCAAGATGGTACGCATCGATTTTATTCTTGTCCGATTTTCGACATGTATTATTCATTTCATCCCAATTATTTTTTATATACGTAATGTATCAGAATTAAATTATTTTTTATAGGAGGACAAAGAAGCGCCGTACAAGTTTTATGTAATGCACTTTGGGGAACACTTATAGCAGTTTGGCATCAATATACATTTGGTGGTGGAAGGATCACGTGTTTATTTGAGCATCCATTCACTACAAAGCTTTTTTTGTTGTATCTTGGGTATCTATCTTTCGAGTGTATCGTTTGGACACAATATTTTAAGCATACGATTTTAATATATGCGCTTCCATTAACCAACTATTTAGACATTACGCGACATGTAATGGTGATACGGTTAGATGCTTCTTTTGATTGTTTCTTTGAAGATGGTTTTCGATATAACAAACAGAATCTCTAACTTTTATTTAAAAGTGGGCAAGTGAAATCGGGGTATTGCATAAAGATTGGCCAATCTTAATAACCACTCTGAAGAAGGTTTGTTTGGATGGATAAATGCTAATATCTGTATCGACCAAATCTTATCAAAATAAATGTGTAATTAAGGTACCACCCGGCACAAATGGCGGAGTATCACCATTAGGTCTAGTCGCGTCACTATTTGGAGGTTTCGTGATAGGCATAGTTGCTTTTGTATCGTTAGGTTTATCAGGAGGCTGTGATCGTTGGATGTGGGAGTTAATCCCGATTGCAAGTCTCGCGGGATTTATTGGCTCGCTTGTAGATTCTGTACTTGGTGCTACAGTGCAAAAGACTTTATACTCAGAGAAATCACGTAAAATAACGTATGCAACAACAGCAGATAAAGGTGTTAAAGTTATCACAGCAGATAAAGGTGTTAAAGTTATCACAGCAGATAAAGATGTTAAAGTTATCAGCGGTTGGGATTTATTGGATAATAATCAAGTATGTAGTTGTGTTTTCTGACTTTTGTTGCCTTTTTTTGTTAAAAGTGTGATGATACATATTTGTTGATGATTTCATCTTATGCATCTAGGTTAATTTTACAGCTTCTTTTATTACGAGCTGTTTAACGGCTTTCCTTACGATGGATATTTTTGGCATTTTATAGCTAGCAGAAATAAAAGAAAATCATTTTACTATTTTATTTAGAAAACATATTGTGTAGATCACCTAGATCCAATTAGGATCTTCATCGACATTATTAATATCAAAAGCCTAAATCCAAAATAAACTCTTGCATCGCGACTAAAATTAAATTCCAAACTCAATATCTCTGCCCTCGGTAAATAGTGACCGAATCCTTAACAAACCTATTTTCCCAATCTAACTCATCTTGTTCCACGCTGGTCAATTTCCAACCGTGACTATTTAATGCGTCAAATAATTTCTTGTCGGATCTTGTCGTGCGTGTTTGATGTGCGAGAAGGAGGGTCGTGTGGTTCCGTGTGGATAATGCTTAATAAGTATTTTATTAATTTACTATAATATAATAAATGATGTTTGATAACAAAGCAATAAAGGTACCATCAATTGTTTCCACTAGTGGCTCAATCAAATAATCAACCCACACAACATCCGCCGCAAAAATATAATCGTATGGTGTGATGTCGTCATTGTTGTCATCATTTAATTGCTTTATATACTTTTCTCTGTACCATCATCATTATCATATTATCATCATTATCATTAGTATTATTAGTATTATTATTATTATTATTATTATTATTATTATTATTATTATTATTATTATTATTTTCTATTGCTATAGTGTAGTCTTATCCAATTATTATTATTATTATTATTATTATTATTATTATTATTATTATTATTATTATTATTATTATTATTATTATTATACCAAAAGTAGCACTATCAAAGAATATTACCTTTGCTCCCAATCAAGAGCTCTCACATAAACATGTTTACTTTCCAAATTGTTCAACTTTACAATACTCGAAATTGATGGTATAACGCTCGGTGAATCAGTTATCGTGACGCTTCTTGCTCCGAGTATTATAGCTGCAATTGATGGAATTGATTTTCCTGATCCCTTTTTTTTTTTTTTTGATTCGTATTACTTTAAAGCCGTATAATTTTTTAAGGGTGATAATTTTTATAACAGCCTTACCAGCTCTATGATTTTTTTCCCTTCAATTTTTAAATAATCATTATTACTTTTGACCGATTGTTTTTCAATGTATTTAGCAAGTATTAAACCCTATAATAAATAATTTTATTTTTTATGGTTAATTGATTTCTTTGATATAAATCATGCAAAAAACTAAACTAAACAAAAAAATGGTAAAAATTTTTATTAACAGAGAGTTGATGTTTACTGCATCCCAAACACTTTCAGCAGTTTTAACAGTATGACTTTCTTCTTGTTCTTCGTCACAACTTTCAGAGGATTCCTGCGTTGATTCTGAGGAATACAAGCATATTATTCGATCTTTTATATAAAACCTGTTTTTGTTGTCGGTTTTGTTTGTAGAAAACTTAAAGTCGAGTGAGGGAAACTTTGGTCCTTGGAGCAAAAAAATTTGATTTCTTGATGATTCCATCGAATACAAGTTTTGTAGCACACATTAGAAATTAGATCTATTTGTAAAATATTATCGTTACAATATTTTAATCACGCCGAAAAAAAGTGTCAGAACACGTGCTGCTGGTGGCATAAACCAATAAAATGCGTAAATTTTTGATCGGACCGGCAAAACAAATCTGACAAGAAAAAAATACGGGAAACAGATGCCTAAATCTAGCTTGGTACACTAAAAAAATGTCGGGAAGACAATTTTACATTATAATCTTGGCTCCAGCTCTAACCTAATCATAACCTTTAACAATAACCTTTATTACCGTAGAATTTTTCCGAACATACACAAATATCACATGATTAACACTTTTTTCGCCGTGGCTAGGGTATTACTTTTCGCAGGATACCCTAGCGCTAGCCATGGCGAAAAAAATGTTCGGGTCATGTGATATTTGTGTATGTTCGGAAAAATTCTACGGCAACAGAGGTTATTGTTAAAGATTAATTTAGAGGTTAGGATCAGGGTTAGACCTGTGATCAAGGTTATCGTTATATATAAAATTGCCTTCCCGACATTTTTGCGTATTTTTTACATTTTTCTCTTTGTTTTGCCGGGCTGATCAAAAATTTACGCATTTTTATTGGTTTATGTCACCAGCAGATCAAAAATTTACGCATCCTTATTGGTTACCACGTGACCCGAACATTTTTTTCGGACTGAACTTTTGGTGTTCAATGATAACATTTTAGCGTTAGTAATTCTTCTATTAAAATCAATAAGTATTAAAAAATCTCTGAGCAATATTAGTATTACATAACTATTTGCATGTTATCATACAATAACGATAATGCTCATCTTTCTCGCTTATTACTTATTTTTTTGCTCTGTTATTAGAACTCAAAATATTATTTTGATATTCATTTTTAACTGAGATGACATTTATTATAAGAGTATCACATCTAAAGTAAAAGATAGAGATTGTTGTTTGTGTATCATATAAGAGTTTGCTTAATGGCATCATGCAATCTCCTCAGAAAAAAATAAATATAGAATATATAGAAATAACACGTTCAAAAATATCTCCTCCTCCACAACCGCTTAATAGTAATATTAAATGTAATAAAAGTATTTTCTATAACTTCTAACTTGAAGTATTATTGAAATTTCCATTTGCATCCATATTTTCTTCTTCCAATTCATGAAAGATAACAGCTCTAGTGCCTCGATAAACTTTTAATAAAATATTTAGGCGAGGTAATAAATGCTATTTTATTCAAAAATGGATAAATTAATAAAGCTGTATATAAGATAATACACGCGTAAATTGATGAGAAATCACTGAGAGAGTACCTCAAACACTACCACCATCCGATCTTGTCCATCGACAATTATCGCTAAGTAAAATTTAACGGATAACATTGTGATCCCTTCGTTTATAACCACATCCAATATTTTCGATCGATCAATAAATTTCGACACACATCTTCCATCCATAAAGGTCGTTTTCACTTGTACACCAACGTCATGTATCAAAAGAATGCTTTCTAAGGATATTCTTAAGAAATGAAAAGTCAAAATAAATATCATCATTCGTCATTCATACATAAATAAATTTTTAAAATATACACGCTAGAAATTAAAATTCACCTTCTTTCACTCTATTACATTTTGACCATATCCATATTATCAAGGATATTATACTTATCCCGTAGGATAATTTTGTTTGTTCCTTTGGAAAAAAATCAATATATTTATTACTTTTTCTTGTTCTTTAATAAAGAAATAACTTTCATCATGTTTAACAAATGATATTTACGGTTATCCATAATACACCCACTATTATGATAATATAAAAAAGGTCAAACCACCCAAGTAAGGACTGCTCAGTTGTCATAATATACTCCCTCGCATTATCTGCCAGCAGGTCACATTTAAAATAAGGATAATTAGAAATTGTTGTAAGAGTATCATAGCACAAAGAATCGCGTAATGACATTTATGCAATCTCTTGTTCCAAGAACAAATAATTTATATATAGGACTTGAAATTTGGAAATATTACGGAGTTGAGATCCGCGTGTGCCTCAATCCGTCTTAGATTATTTGTGGATCCCAAATGGTAATCTTATCCTTGTGCCGATTCCATATCCACATCTTATATTGGGTTTTACATTGTGATGGGGTTTTAGAAGCTTCCAATTTTTTGGCTATTGGATATAGTCATTGAAGCATCTTATATAGGAATTGAAAGATATATTGGAATTATTAGAAACATCACTGCGGCCGCCATACAGTTGAACAACTAGGCTAAAGAGCCTTCTTGTGGAAGAATATTTTATTTAATTCGGGGTTTTATTATTACACGATACAAGATATCTCTCCAAAAATGGAGTGAATGGACTATCTTTTGTTGAAAAGTAACGTGGTGTTTGATGTTGAACACGAACTGGCGTGCATTTTCCAAATATTGTTTGCTCGCCCAAGGGAATCAACAAGGACCGCCCTCTGTAAAACAGAATTTATTAATATAACATCACTTAATAAAAAACAAATCTATATTAATCATGTTAAGATGTCTTACGGTGTCGGATGTGCTGCTTTCCATGCTCTCTTTTCAAGTTCAAATTCAACTCTTTCTTGCTATTTATTCGTTTAAAAATAGAAATATCAATTATCGCGTCAAAATATAAATAATAATAATAATAAAGTTTATAACAGACCAAAAGCATCTCTCGATCTTTGCCCAGCCGTACTAACTGTTCGGTGAACTTTTTGCGTTCCGTATTCAACTGTTCACGTTTCTTAGTTAGATCTCTGGTTTCCTCGTCATACTCGGGTATGGTAGTTTCATCACTATTCAATCAATCAATCAATCAATCAATCAATAGAAAACAGTGTTTTGTGTTAATAGAAGGTAAAAGTAACATTTAGCTGGTTACATTGAATGATCTGGTAATCCCTCTTGGAAATTATTTTCTATCTGATCTTCAAGCAAATCGTGAGCTTTTTTCGCATAATTTTGAGCTTCCTCTATTGAATAAACCAATAATTAAATAAATAATCGCTTTTTCATATTATCCCAAATAAAACAACAACAAAATTCTTACCAAGTTCCTCTTTCAACACATTTATTTCAATCTGTTGTTGCTGTATCTCTTCATGCTTTCGCTCAATCTCCATAATTTGTTGATGTATTTCCGTCTCCTTCTTATCCAACTCACTCATCTGTTGATTTATCTCTGCGTCTTTCCTTTGAATCTCGATATTTTGGTCACGAATCTCTCGGTCTTTTTGTTGAATCACCAAATCACGTTGATTTATTTCATTTTCCTTTTCTTCGACTTCCACGACCATTCCAGCAGGTCTGTTACTCCATTCGCGTTTGAGTGCTTCAAGAAGTTGGTTGATTTCCTCTTCGAGATTTTGACCAAACATTTCGAATGGAAGGTGAAATTTCGCGGCTCGTGGATTATAAGATTCTGGTGTCTTGTAATTTATATGAAATCAATTAGTTTTTAATTGATTATCACAATTATTAATCAGGAAATCGCATACTTCAATTCCAAGAAACTCTGGATCTACGTCCATTGTTCGTTTAGGTGTTAGTGTTTGAACTTGAAGGAATTCGGTCAGTTTCGTTTGCACCTCGTACAAAAGGTTACGCAACTTTTGATTTTCTCCAAGTAATTCATTCTGTCGAGCTTCATGATCTGCTAGAACTTGCCTAAACATTTCATCATCCTATCATTATTATTGATAATCATCATTATTCAAATTCGTATTTCAAAAATAATAAACCAACAAATGATAGTAGTTATTACACTTGATCGTGAGAGATCGGACGATGATGATGATCTTCCAAGAATGTTATTCGTGTAGTTTGTGGTATTTTTATTCCCATTATAATTATTATTATTATTGTTGTTGTTGTTGTTAGAGTAGAGGCTTCGAACTGATGGTTTTGGTGCTGGATTTATCATTTTGAGACCAATCTTTGCACCTTTGTACTTTTCATTGAGTACTTTTCCCATTTGTTCTTTGAATCTTTGATATTCTGCTTCGCGTTTTCGAACTTCATGCTATTTATTATTTGAAAATGTATGAATAAGATTTCAATAAAAATAAAACGTCATAGCTTTTATAACAATAATACTGAGCAGTGAGTTGGTAGTAAAGGTGATGAGATACACTGGATCTGTGATTGCATCTCTCTTTAATATTTTATTTACCGCGGTTTGCGTTTTAGTGTATTGACATTGTAACTTTGTCTTTGTTAGTTCATCATTTAATAGTCGATTTTTCGTTGCCTCTATTCGATGTTTATCTTCGGTCCACCTTTTTAACACGGAAAATAAGTTAACAACAACAGTGACTATGAGAAAAGCAATGGGATAATTTTACTTACTGCAATTTTGATTTTAAAGCATCAATCTCCCGCTCACTAAGTTCCATTCGTGTTTTTAAATTTTTCTATAATTATCTGAGAATTAAACGAATAATTTTATTAAACTTATTTTATACGAAAAAAGAATTACCATGTTCGTTGAAAGCATTTCATGATCGCTTAGAAGTCGACGATACTGATCATTCAATTCTTCTCGATATCCAGAATCTTTCTTTTGGTTAATAGCATCAAAAACAAAATCAATGAATGATAAAGACAATAAAGGTGATAATAAGACAGCGAACGAACGAACGAACCAACAACAGACCTGTCGTTCTTGTAGCATTCTGAGAATACAATGGATAACATGTGTCGCATTTTCACGAGTACTTTCAAAGAAATTCAGCGGAGACGGGAAACCATGTATATCCAGTTGTTGATTTATGTATTCGATTGTGTTTTGTAAACCATCCACTATGTCGTTACTACCATACAATAGTTAAACATTAGAATAAACCAACACAAAAAAATTCACTGGATTATACTTGTATACCCATTCTCTCTATTCTCTTTGTCCTCCTCCTCCTCCCTACAGCTTGGTCTAAGATATTCATCTAAATCTTCCATGTCTAGCTCTTTTGTATCTTTTATGCTATCGCAATGTGTTTGCTGAGTAATTGTGTAATATATTATTATAATCTAAAAAAACGCGTCCATAGTCGCGAAGCTTACATTTTAGGATCCACGTGACTTTAATAAATATAAATAACGTATAATGATAATTTTTCAAAAAAAAAAATGAATCCATTAAAAACGTTCCGAATATATTTCCATGTACCAGTGACTCCAAGGAACCAAAGTGACGTTAGACGCATATTTGAGTGGTTCGCACAAAGAGGAACGCTGGGTACTTACCTTATGGGAAGGGTGGGTTAGTTAGTAATTATAGTTGTGTACTTTTTTCTCATTTTGGTTGATTTATTCTCATTCGCAATTCCATTCTTTACAAATTATCAATATCACTCTTATTATTACTATTAGAGTCCTGAGTCAAAAAGATATCAAAGATACGGCTTCATAACATACAAAGATAGCGCAATCGCCGAAGAGTTACTAAACAATGAATTTCACCCTGTAGACTTTTACGATGAACCGATAAGAGTTCGAAGGGCTGATCCTCTGAATGGTTAGTTAAATTTGTTTATTGGATAAATGCTATTCTGATCGAGTGATAAATAAATTAAATTAAATTAAAAAAAATAAATGGATAGGAAGAAAAATTGCAACGAGTATCGATAAGATACCGCTAAATCAACGAATGATATGGGAAGGGTTCTTTCCTAGAGATAATTTCACCAAAAAGAGTGATATTGCCACCGTAGAATTCACTGATGGGATTGATGCTGAAAATTTTAATGCAGATGCAGGTGTAGATTTCGACAATGTCAATGTTTAATTTGAAAAAATAAGATTATCAACACGATGCTAAAAACTTTGATCACATGACCATAAATTTATAAATTATTTCCTGTCTTCCAAAACTTCAAAAAATGGGAAAAAACAAAATAAAATCAACTCATAAAAACCGACGGAGTAACAAAACTAGATTTCTTGCGCACAATGGGTAGTGGCATTGATAGTTGCTTTATAATTCTAGAAAAAGTTGATTTCGAATGCACGTCGTTACATGTTTATTTTTTTTGACTATTTTTAGGGAAGAACTTGAACTGGAACAAGATATAAATGGTATAAATAGTTAGCTGATGCTAGCGTGCTTTAAAGAAAGATGCTGTTTTGAATTTATGTATTAGGTTATTGTCATTTAATGCCCTTTTTCTTTGATAGAATCGGAGTCTTCTCGGCACCATAATGATAATGATGTTAACGAATTTCCAATGTTTTTAGGAATGTGGGTATGCAATAAAAAATGCCTGAGATTATGTTAATCGCTACCTTACACGTTAATTTATAAAGAAAATGCAAATAGGATTTTGAGCACTGCGATCCTAAACGATGCTCCGGTAAAAAACTTTCGAGATTAGGAATTGTAAAAATTCTCAAAGTTTCTTCTCGATTTCGTGGGATTTCGCTAAGGTGAGACTTTACTTGCCGTATAATGTAAAATCTATTATTATTATTATTATAGAATTCTATATTTATAATTCAATCAATTAATCTATAATTAATCAAATTATTATATACAGTCCAAATGGTGAACAAGCAGTCTCACCCGCGGACAGGACAATCGTCCAAGAACACGGTCTGGCAGTGGTGGATTGCTCATGGGCGAAATTGGATAAGGTGCCATTTGATAAACTTAAATCTACAAATAACCGATTACGTGAGTAGTTGCGAGGATGTATGAGAGAATCAAGAGAGATATTAACATTTATTTCTTTTCCAACGTGTATGTGTTTCATGTACACAATTAGTCCCTTATCTGGTTGCTGCTAATCCGGTAAACTATGGTCGTCCATGGAAACTTAACTGCGTTGAAGCGTTTGCCGCGTGTTTTTTTATAGTTGGTTGATATGATTTGTGAAAAGTTTAGCAGTATTACTGTTGTTATGTATGTATTTAACATACGATTGAAATTTTTAATAGGTTTTCCTGAACACGCTAAAACTGTGCTTGCGAAATTTAAGTGGGGTCATACGTTCCTCGAAATCAACGAGTATGTATGTTTAAAGAATTTTATCAAGTCTAAGATTTTCCTCGTTTATAATGAAATATTTATAATGACAAAATAAATAGGACCATCTTGAATAAATATGCTGCATGCAGCGATTCCGCCGATGTTGTGAAAGTTCAAAATGAGTGGCTTGAAGATATACAGAGAGAATACGCTAGTAAACGTGATAAAGGTATTTAGTTTATTCATTTACTAGCACATTGTTTTTTCGGTTAAAATTAATCAACTTTTTTTTAATTATTTTTAAGTCAGCAATTATGATGAAGAGATGTTGGTGAGAAATCCAAATCACAATGACGCGTGGGATGAAGGCGAAGAAAGTGATGAAGATGAGGAGGAAGAGAATGACGATGAGGAAGATGCAAAAGAATTAAAAGTTGAAAATCAACAAGTAATAAAAGAAAATAAAAATATTGTTAATTAGTGAAAAATAATAATATAGAAAACATCGAAAACGCTTTATAAAATTTTATCTGGTTGCTAATTGATACGTTGCTCATAATCATGAATTAATATATTTACTTGTTCGTAAACTATTCTCCCTTATTCATTTCAACTCATTATTATTATGATTATTATTATTATGATTATGATTATTATTATGATTATTATTATGATTATTATTATTATTATTACTACTACTACTAACTCGGTTTTCTAAGATTCGAACCAATCTCACAAGCAGGGACCAATGGTTGCAAAAGCACTTCAGCGGGTGATACGAATTCCTTAATAGGCGACTTGAGGTTATCGGGAGTGGCGGGTGTGTTTTTAGTAGTTCTTGTTGATTTAGATTCGGTTTGAATCTCAGTATCTCCGTAACCCTCGTCGACATCATCTTTTTTGTTCTCGATTAACCCGGATGCTTGTTTTTTTGCACGAGGCGTCATCGCATGTTCTGCCTTAACAGCAATTGTACTATGAGCAACGCCGTTTTCGTCTGCTCTTGTGAGATCAGTCATTTCGATTTTAATGTTATGAGTTTGCATTTCGACCATCGCTTCAGCTGCTATCTGCGTCAAGGTGTCACCATTAGATTGACCAAGAGGGACGACTGGGGTCGTAAATACTTCCTCCTTTAATTGTGGTGGTGACTGAGAGACTATTGAGGGATTTGAATCAACGATTCCACCATTACTTTCGATCTTTACAGAAATTGGAGTGCTTGATTTTGCAGCAGGCGGCGTCTTGAATTTTTTGCTAGATCGACGTTCTTTGAAGGAACTGTTTTTGATAATGGACTCGTGTTCGGGGAGAATTGTCCAATAACAACCTTTTCCTGGTTGTCCTTCAGTTCGTGGCAACCGTTTGAATGCTTTATTAAGAGATAGATTATGCCGGATCGAATTCTAAATGGTTACCACAAATTGATTAATTAATTAGTAATTAATAAGGTAAAAAGTGACAAGTATAATAATTATATTTAAATACCTCCCAACCACTCCCGGATTTCTCCTCTCGTTGATAGTAAGGATAATTATCTGTTATCCACGTGTAGATTTCATTCAATGTCATCTTCCTATCTGCTGACTGGAGAATCGCCTGTCCTATAAGAGCGGCATAGGAATAGGGAGGTTTGGTTTGACTATCATATTCCACTGATGGCCGCTTTTTAGTTATTATTGTTGTAGTGGATGGAGGTGTGCTGTTGTTAGTAGTAGTGGTGGTGGCGATGGTGGAAGCATTGATAGCGTTATTGGTGGTCGAAGTGGAATTGGAGTTTGTGTTAGAGGCGTTTAATAACGCATTGAAGAATTTTGAGCTACTTGATGACGATGAAGAAGATGACGTCTTATGCTAAATAATATAATTTTTGTTAATAAATTCTTTTATGACGATCCAGCGAATGAATATTATATTAATCTACCTTTTTCTTTCGTTGCTGTTTATTATTCAAAACTTCTTCCATCGTTAATTTACCATTCATCAAATTCTGTGTTATACTTGTTGAATCACTCAACACATCCGACAGAGTATCAGCGTGTTTTGTATGTCCGCGGCTTCGCGATGGCGTATAATTGTGATAGTTATTATGGTGGTAATGATTATTATGATGGTGACGATGACCTTTCTTGATTGAAGGCGGTGAGTATATGTTTTCTTGATCAAAAAATGGAAGTGATGATAATGCCGCATGAGTTTTCTGAGGAGTCTTTGGAGTAGAATATGGTGATGACTTATTCACCATTTCGAAAGATGTGGTGGTCTCTTTAGTTGGTGTTACCTGAATAGGCGTAGTAGATATGGTCGTAGTGTCAAGAGTATTATCAAGAAAAGTTGAAACGCTTGATGTAATGTTATTTAGAGATGTTTTAGATGTTGACGTTGACGCGTTGTTATCATTATTAACGAAAGCGTCGTTGTCACCATCAGATGCGGTAAAAAAGGGAGTCGCGTATATAATATCTTCTGAGGGAAAAAAATTCAATTCATTTGCGAACATCATTCCATTATAATAATCATTTTCCGAGCATCCTAGAAATGTTGAAGCCATCGCCTCTTTGAGAAACTCATCAATTTCCATTTCATCTGTTGTATTATTATTGTTGTTATTGTTGTTGTTATTAGTATTATTGTTATTATCATTTTCTGTTGCCGTCGCCGTTTCTGTTGCTGTCGCCGTTTCTGTTGCTGCTAATGTCAACCTCAAAGCTAGTTCCTCTGTTGCTTTTTGCCCCATATTAGTGTTGGGTTTATCTGTGACTATGGAGGATTTTGTGGTGGAACTTTCAGGTTTCGCGACGTTGTTGGAAATTAAAGTGGCCTTATTTTGCGAAGATGGTGTTGTTGCTGCTCCTGCTGCCGTTGTTGTTTCCATGCAATGAGGGTCTTCTATCTGCGTAAAGTCGAAAAAGGTCGAAAGGTCGAAAATTGGAAGAAGCGCGTCGCTCATTATACGAATTCTTTTTCTTTTTGTCGTGTATATATTATTGTAAATTTATTATTACCCAAGATTTAATTTAAGAATTGTGAAAAAACCAAAAGAATGATTAAGTGAGAAGTTAAAGCAAGAAACTGCCAACAAACAATAATAAAAGAAGAATTTTTATTACGGAAACTAACTAATATTCTAGAAATTTTACCTTTTGAGAGTGAATTTTTTAGAGCGAAATACCAAAAAGTGGGTCTGGAAGAATGAGTGCGTTTTTATATTTGAATGTGAATCGGGGACACGCCTCGCGCAAATACGATGAATTATATTTTCGCGTGACGTAATGAATGTGGTGTACACGAATGATCGGCAAAATGCGTCAAGTGACACGAATAAATAGGAGTTGATCAATCAATTTCTCATGCGCTTTAATATATTTGATTAATTTTTTCCAAGACGAATCATTTAAATAATATGGCGATTTACAATTAAAACTTTGACCAAGGAATGATAACACAAAGGTAAAATAAAATATCGAGAATTGTGTTGACAGATGAATTCCATTTTTGATTTAGTATCAATATTACGGCTCAATGTTATTCTTATACCCCAAACACATATAATATCCCTCCGTCGACTTTGGGCGCGACGCATCCGGTTTCTCGTATCGAACTTGTTTGAATCTTTCTTGTAGTCGTTTCTTAAATTCTTCTTCTGTGCCACCCATCAAAAACTTTGGTTTTTATGTGTCATCGATCACAAAAATTATCATGATTATTAATTATCAATTAAATAACATATTTGCATACAATAATACATGTTAGAGAAAAAAATTGTACCTTGCACAAAAAACTGCCTTCCGATTTCAAGATTTGGTCAGATAAAGATAATGCAGCTTCGCATAGATCCTTAATAATCATGAATATTTTATCACAATAATTATATTAGAATTATGTTCAAAATAATTTCATCAAGATTACCATAGATTTGACATGATCCGCTAAATGTTGTCCCGAGAAATTTGGCGCCATGTCACTAACCACTATATCGGCTTTCCTGCCTTTCAGTAGATCCTGTAATTTCTTTTGAATGGACGCATGTGTGAAATCGCCTTGGATAAAATTTACTCCGTGGATAGGCAAAATAGATAATAGATCAATTGCAATTACAAGACCTTTTTGTTCTTGTTCTTCTTTTCTATCGGCGACTATAAGATTATCATCACCATCGTTATCGTCTGCAATAGTAGAAGAATTCTTTTCTTCTTTTGTGATATCAAGGAACACTTTTTGTGAAATGTATTGACTCCAACCACCAGGTGCTGCGCCACAATCAATAACTACGTTTCCGGGATTTAGTAGTTTGTATTTTTGATCGAGTTCAATCAGTTTGTAAACACTTCGGGATCCTTTGTCAAGTTAAATTTAAATCGATCAATTTATAGTGTTTGGAATAAATCAAGTATAGTAGATGCCATTGTAATTACGGTAATTATGCGCCACGGCTTTCTTTTTATATTTATCACGCATTTGACGTGTTATCCATATTTTTGAGGAGGACAAAGATCGACCCGAAATAAACATGCTGAGATACAATAGCGTGTATTTCTCTGGTTGATCAAAAGATTATTTAATATTGCTACTGTCACATTCACTCTCTTCGTCAAAAGAATAATAATTAACTGACAAAAGAAAGAAAAAAAATGTCCAGTTTCTTTGAGATGCATAACAGCTCCAGTGACTTCGCTTCGACTTTCGAAGCAATTAAAACGCTACAAAACCTCTCGAAACCGGTACAACAACATTTAACTCGTGTGTATACTACCTTGGCAGGTCTTGCTGGTTTGTTGGCCCTTGGAGCTTTCTTACACGTTAATCAGTTGTTCTTGTTTGGGGTGAGTTTACATACTGATTAGAAAGTGATTTTTGAGTATTATATTATTAATATTAATAATTGGTTGAATTGAATTAATTAATATTAGGGTGGCTTGCTTTCATTCTTGATTGGTATTTTCTCAGTTTTTACCGTATTGGGATTACCTGATACCCCGGAAAATAAATACCTTAGATATGGGCTCTTATTTGTGAGTTTTTTATTTATTTGTAATATAAGCGATTATATATGCTCTCCTTAATAATTCAATTTTCATGTTTAGAATTTCGCCTTTATGGAAGGACTCTCTATTGGTCCACTTATACAACACACGTTAAACGTTGATTACTCGCAAGTTTTTTTTATTTTTCAATCTTTAAAGAAAATATTTTTGTTTGAAAATAGATTTTCACTAACCAACACTTGATGGATCCCGATATAGTGGGACATTGATCGTGAACGCTTGTATAGCCACAAGTCTAATATTCGTCTGCTTCACATTAAGCGCCTTATTCAGTAATAAAAGAGAGTTTATATACTTGGGCGGAATCTTAGGCTCGGCGGTCTCTATCCTGGGATGGATTTCGATCTTTAATTTGTTTTTCAGATCAAAAATCTTGTTCTCGGCAGAACTGTATTTTGGATTAATTTTGTTTTGTGGTTATGGTGGGTGGCTTGTGTCTAGTCTTGATATTGCATTCTTTAGATATAAGAAATTAAATTTTTTATTTATTCTATAGTTCTTTACGATACACAACTAATCTTGTATCGAGCTTCGAAATTTGGATCAAGAGACGTGGTAGGCCACTCGTTAGATCTCTTTATTGATCTCGTTGGTATCTTCGTCAGAATCTTGACCATATTGACCAGGAATGCTGAAGAGAAAGAAGACCGAAAACGAAAAAAGAGAAGTTAATGATTTTATATACGTGCTTTAATATTTGGGTTCGCGAGTGTAATTTAACTATTGAAATGTACGTATCGTAAACTATATTGACAAATAAAATCAATATACAATTAAATAGTGTATGCCAATACGTCTGACCTTCCTTTAATTCGATTCTTCAAATGAATAAATCAATGCACACATTTTGATTTGATAAAGTTTAAATCTTCAATTCAGTATTTTTACATTAATTCAGAATATTTTTGTATTATTACATTAATTCAGAACATTTTTTGTAAGATAAATAAATAAATGAATTCGCTTAACTTCAAAAAGTGGTAAAATTAGTAGCTTTACTGATTGATTGATTGATGACTTACCTTGATAATACGAGAGGATGTTAATGCTGTTCATAACTCATTTGAATAACCAATAACTTTGGTTAATTCTACAAAAAAAATATCAGATTCGCTGGTCAGATATAATTATATACAAGTAAATGATAAAAAGGAAAAAAAGACTTACGTTCAAACTTTATATTTTCTCGTATCACAGTAGGTTTCGCCTCGTTATCTTTATTCACTGGTATATGTACAATACCATTCGATTCTGTCCATCCTAGCGATTTGATGAACGCTAGAAATTCTTCATCTAAAGGAATATTATTCGGAATAAATGAATCATTCACATTGTGTATTTTTATAATTTCGATAGATTTATTACCTGGTTCACCCGCAGCAGAACCCAAATTGAAATAAGCCTGTAATAAGTCTGCAGAGATGCTTTGATAAGATATGGAGATTGCCGTAGCAATTACTATTTTTATTTTTGATATGTTAAAAAAAAATAAATCTCATTTCATTTGTCAAGATTGCGAGCGTTAATATCACCAAGAAAAAAATAACCTTTCACCTTTTCTAATAGCATTCTCAAATCCAACAGCTTCACTAGTCAACTCGCGATACGTGTCATCCTTTTCATATTCCTCCCAGAATTGTTCGTAGCGCGATTGTTCCAATAGTTGTTGAAGAAATATCAGTTTACCAATCTGTTCATCTTCAAACTTTTTATTCATTATTATTGAGCATCGCGTTAAGGGATAAATTAAACGATAAATGAATAGAAAGCGACGAGCTTATGAAAAAGAAATAAATGGATACAGAATTCTCGTGTAATAAATACAGACATAGATTGAAATCGGGATTCGGTATTGCTGTCAGAGCTTTAACCAGAATAGTGATAATCACTTGTTCGTTAACTAGGTGTGGATTGAACTGGTATCTAATAATGTAACATAAAAATCGTGATTAGTATGTATATATGCAGGTACACCTTATATGTACAAGCTAATTCGATTCGAAGATAGTTTTTCGAAAATTCAGCGAGGGCAAGTTATTTATCGTCAACACTTGGCTAATTTTTGTTGTTGCTTTTAGCCAGGTTCCTTTTTAATATCATTATTGTACTTAATCATCATTCATTCGAAAAACTAGTATCTAAATTAATTCCATGCAGAAGCGATTCTCACAATTTAAGAATGGCCAAATTTGCCATTAGATCATATTCTTCATTCTGTAGTTGTGTAGTAAGGTAATCTTCCAGTATAGAGACGTTATCCGGATTATAACGATCTACACCATCTATTAACGACTGAATAATTTCAGGTCGTGAAGCTGGAATTTGTGGAGAAGGAGTGAGTGATGCCATACTATTACACAAAAGGAAGTAAAATTTTCATAAATTAAAAAAAGATTACGTCATTTTTTTCGACCAATGTATAATAAATTAATATCTTTTTTATTATTATTTTATTATTTGTGTTTCGTCGTTTTTTTAGGTTAAGTATTTCGTGGCAATATTAAAATTTGACAAATCGAAGGCGAATGCAGGCACAGCCAATTAGACAGTTGGGAAGCTCAAAAAGAAAGAGAGCACAATCCTCTGTTTCGACACAATGGAAATTAAGGGACCATTCAATTGTGCAGCTTCGAACCAAACGAAAGACAAACTCGACTGTAGTGTTTGTGAAAAATCTTTCTTTGCCCAAAGTGAGTCTTTTCATGAATATACTGCGTGTTTAGCACTCTACTTTCTTTTATAAATATTTATATACTTGCCTCATAAAAGAGAACTACTGTCACAGAACTTCGAAGCTTCAAACGTAGCAAAGTTTTCAAAAGGAACATCGAAACTGTTGATAATTACTATGATGATGATACAGAAGATGAGGAGGAAGAGGAAGGGCCAACAATTTCACTTTTTCTCACTATTCCTCCCGAAATATTTGCCGTGATTTGTGCATATCTTCCACCCGCCGAACTATTTACTCTTTCTCGAGTATGTAGACGCTTTAGAGGATTTCTTTGGTCGACAACTTCGGCGGTAACTGAGTCAATTTGGCGTATTTCTCGAACTACTTTTTTACGGTATCCAAATATGGCCCCACCGACTGGACTAGCAGAACTGGAGTATTTGAGACTTGTGATGGAGAAAGGTTGTATGTTTTGTGATAAGGAAGATGGGCTTACTATATATTGGGAATTTCAAACTCGTTGCTGTATCGGATGTCTGGAAAAAATCACTGTTCGGTAAATAGTAATAGATGCATGATTTCATTTTTTTCTTAAAATCGCCAATTCATTAATTAATTAATTATATTTTCTGGATCACAAAGGGATTATCATCTTTCTTCGAAATTGAAAAGAATGAACATTCCTCAAGATATTATCTTCGGTCTTCCTTACTTGCTCCGTTGCAACACGCCAAAATACAACGGAAAAATCTACTTGCAAGCAGACATCAAACGCGTACACGATGAATATCTGGTAGCACCCAACAAAGGAACATGGGTCACACAGAAAAACGCAGAAGTTCTCGCATTCCTTCAAGATGCACGAGAACGCGTCAAAGACACCCAAACTAACCAAAAAATTCTTATAATGATAGAACGGGGTCGCCGCTACAAAATCATCTCGGCGAAAATCAAGGAACTCGCCAAAGAATTACGCAACAGCAAAACGTCGATCGGTCAAACAGAGTATCTGCTTAAACGGTGCCCATCTTATCGACGTGTCGTTGACGTGCCGAAACCTTTTACGGAACGTTCTTGGAATGCGTTGGTCAAGAAATTGGAGGTGGAGTTGCCGAATGCTAGGCAATTGTCGCGAGGTACTCTTCCGTCTAATGATGAGATATGGGAGATTCGCGAGGAATTGCGTGAACGTGTGAGAAGGCTTCAAGCAAGATTGGCGGAGACTTTTGACGAAAATTACTAGAATACTACTAAAGTAATAGTTTTTTTTTTATTATATATTTATAATTTCACGCCAGTGAACTGCTTTGCAAAGATTAAGGCTGTGACTGTCAATTAAATTCAAATCATCGTATAACACTCAAATTATTCTATTTGATGCGACAATAGAGGTATGTACCTATGATTTGTGGTATAAATATAATGTTTTTCTTAATTTAATTAATTATAAAATATACAAATATAATTTAAATGTCTTTTTCCGCGAAAATTGCTAATAAACCGCCAAATAAATATCATTCGTTTCTTTTTTTGGCTCTATTACGCGAAAAAAATTCCACCTGACAGAAATTATTTTATGACTGTATTTTCATCTTTATTTCTCTTGAAGTGGAAAAATATACAACAAATACATGTATTCCCAATTTTTAATAGAACTAATTAACCTAAAGTATTTAACGCGATAAACCTTTACGTAAAAAAAAAAGAACGATTTCAATTTTGAACAATGCAGGTATACATGAGCTTTACTTATTTGTGTACAAATATAGATAGAACAAGATTATATATATCCATTTTTGGGTTTGTATTACAAATAAGTATATCTGTATACATGTACAAACATATACTAGTACCCTACCCATGGCGAAAAAAAAGTTACAGATTACGTGTCACCAATAAGAATGCGCGAATTTTTGATTTACTAGTGACACAAACCAATAAAAATGCATAAATTTTTGATC